AGAATTGCACCCCTGCTTTAGGAGTGACTGAGGCAGGGGCTGGGCTCTGATGTCCCCTCATAGTCAGTCACCAGCCACAGAATGGGGGCAGAGGGGACAAAACCCCCTGGCTTCTCCTTGGGAGGTTGTGAAGCTGTGGAATACGGCACCTGAGAGCCATCAGCATCCATGTCCCACCCTCTTGAAGCAGGATCAGCAATCCTGGGAGACAACTGCAAACAGATGACATCAGCACAGCCCATATCATCCTGATGAGTGAACCCTCTCTCAGGTTGGACAGTGATGGACCAGCTGTGATGGGCCTAACATGTACAATTTGCATATTTCCATGCTGTAAATTCTCCCATCAAGGCTGATTTCAAGCGACGAAGAATTTAGTGATCAGCTTGGAAAATCTTGAAATTTTAACAAGTAGCTCTGGCAGGCTTGTATGCTGTGGCAGAGACACGACACAGTCCCTGAGTTTCCTCTGTGAGGTTTCCTGCCTCAACCTGGGGTGACATAGAGTGAGAAGCATGCGTTCCTCTAACCTACCTAAAATCAGCCCCACCTGCTCCCCAAGAACAGACGAGCCTGACAGATTACAGAGCACGTGCTCTGCGCGGTCCCGCCCGCTGTCCCTCTGACATACGGGGCTCTGTGTGTTGTTGCAGGTTGGCCCCGAAGCAGAGCTCAGGCCAGCATTCAAGAGGAAGCAGGTGCTTTGGGAGGCAAATCCTTCAAAGCACCAGCAGCAGAGTAGAGAAGTGAGACAGAGAACGACCCGAAGTCAGAAGAAGACAAGTCAATGGACAGGTCATTGAAGTGGGGACAGGGGTTCCACCCAGCTGGGGACCTCAGGGAGGGGGGCCACATCTGGGAGTGGGCCCTCCAAGGAGTGAGGAACAGAAGATACTTTTCCACCAATGAGGGAAAGTCCCAGCAATGGTTGGTTGAGGCTGCTCCCGGGACTGCCGCCTCCCCCGTGATTCCAGTCTGCCCCCCAGCAAAGGTCAGCTACAGAGTAGGGAGTGGGCAGGACAGGGACAGTGTCTGAAACCCCCAGGCAAACACACATGTGGCCTGTGTGTCACTGTGTGTGTCTCTCACTCAGGCAGAGCCCTTCACCCCGATGAGCATGAAGCTTGCTTCTAATGGTGCCAATTGTGGTACCATTGGATCCATGAACACAAGCCCACACCTGCAATCTGAGACCCTGCAGAAGAAAGGCTGATATGTCTCAATGCCCAGAGCAAAGGCAGCAGTGGGGTGGGGGGGTCTCTTGCAGAGTTCAGATTGTGAGCGAAGTGGAACAATCTGGGCACTGTACTTTCAGGCTGAACCTGCAGCCCACCAGCAGGAGACTGAGATGTGTGTCCCTCAGTGATTAACTAGTGGCCTGGTCCTCCTGGACTGTAACCTCCATACCAGCAGGAATAGCATCCCCAGCAGCACTGCACACAGACTAGGGCTCCTTAAGCCCCTACTGGGTGGAGGACGAGGAGTGCGGGGGAGTGTGAAGGGCATGGGGTTCCTGGGAATGGAGCCCTGTCCTGCCCCTCCCGGCCCCGCTGCCTCCCCCCGCCCTCCTGGAAGGAACAGCTGCCTCACCCATCTGTGTGTTCAAGGAAGTGACCACACACACACACACACACACAA